GTGAGAGGTCTGACACACTGCTGCAGGGATCTTTTGGGGAATAGCCATCTGGGTGGCACCAAGCAAAAGTGGAAATGTCCAGTAACAGTGCCATCTCTGAAATGGCCGGGGGGTGGCCCTGCCTTCAGAAGCAAGTGTAAGGAGGCTGCCATGTGCGCCACGCATCTCAGTCCCTATAGCCCCTCTCACCCGGCCGTCCAGGTGACCTCAGCATCTGCTGCTCAGAACCAGCTCCTCTTCTAGGATCAGCCCTGTTGATGACAGAACCTCCCCCACCCGAGTCCCTGCTACCTGGAGTGTCCCCAAGCTCAGAACCCCAGAGTCAACAGGGATCTCCAGCAGTGCCATACTGAGTCCACTACAAAATGCTGTCCTCAGACTGTCCCATCCCCCGTAGCCCACTGGCGTTGCCACAACCTCCGAAATGGCCTCTGCCACTGTGCCAGACATGGAGCCAGGCAAAGCACATGCATCAACTCATCTGCCCCTGCCAACAACTCCCATCCACAGACATAGGACTCCAGTGCCAGGACTGTTACCTCTTGAGGAAGCACAGCAGGCAGAGGCCAGGGTTTCAATCCAGGCATGGGGCCTTTCTAGCCCTCAGTGCGGCTCAGAGGCCTCTGCTAGGACCCTCTGACCTGGCAGAGCCACCTCTGGGGTGCACTTTTAGGACAGATGGCCCTGTGGGCAACCCCTGGAGTTGAGCTCTGCCCCTTCCCAGCCGCTGACCCCTGTCCCTTATGTGCTGGCCACACCAGCTTCCACTAGAATCCTGGGACATGGCAAACTCTTTCCCCCTCGGTCTCACCTCCACCACTCTCGTTTCTGCACTTTCTCATGGAAACTTCTGGTCCTCCTGACACAGCAACTCTTTGGAGGGGCCTTCCCTAAGCAGCCCACGACCTTCCTCCAGGTTGCTCTCTGGTTCAGAACCCTGATCATCACCCCCTCGGAGCCATCCCAATCCATCACACATTCACTCACCTGTTAGTGCTCACTCCCTCCATCCTCCCTGCCTCCCCCAAAACTCGAAGCACCCCAAGAACAGAGGCCAAGGCTGGCCGGGGAAGCTCTCGGTTTATAAATGTGGCAACCAATTCAATCCAGAGGTGCAGTGCAGAGTCCTGATCTCTTAGAAGAATCTATAGATGCAATAACATAATGTTCTCCCTGACACACTGTATGGGTAGGCGGGCATTTCAGACAAACAGATGGGACATGGCAGACTCTTCCCGTCGGCCTTGCCTCGCCATCCTCTTTCTGTACTTTCTCATAGAGACTTGGAGTCCCCTGGCACAGCAGCTCTTCAGAGAGGCCTTCCCTAAGTGGCCCAAGAGGGCTCTCCTCCTAATTGTTCTCCAGAACTAACAGGTACTAGTCCTCCCTCTTCCTCCCCTCCCTCCCTACCTCCCTTCCTTCTCTCTCCTTCCCCTCCCTCCCTTCCCTTCATCTCTTCCCTTCCCTTTTCCTCCTTCCCTCCTTCTTCCCTTTCCCCTCCCCTCCCTTACCTTCTCTCTCTCTCCTTCCCCCCTTTCCCTCTCTTTCCTTCTTTCTCCTTCCCCTCTTCCCTTCCTCTCCTTCCCTCCCTCCCCCCCCCAGCAGATACAATCTAGTGGCTGCCAGTTCCTGCCCTCTGCCCCATGCCACTCTCCTCTCCAGCAAAAAACAAACAGGCTAGCTTTCAGCACGGCCAGTTTGCCTCTTTCCTGAGTGATGACCACATCTCTGATGCTCCCTGTCAGATGCCGCATTTTGTGCCAAAGCTCTCCTGTCACACAGGTCCAGGGACCTGCTGCTGGTCAGCACACCTGTGATAACCTCTGGGGAATACTCTTGATGCTATGGTTTTGTATTAAAGTGTGATGAGGCAGGTATACACTTTCTGCCACCTCTCCCTGCTGTGTGGAAGTGGGATTCCTTTAAGCCTACCAGAGCATGTCAAGTCAGATAAAAGATAACCAGTCCCCAATGCTTCTCCTGAGTTGGCTTCCTCAAATTCATCAGGGAGACAAAAACATGCCCAGCTTGCGGTCATTTGGCAAGTATGAATGCCCTCACCTACCTTTCACCTGCAACACAGAGAGGGCATGTGGTCACATGCAGAGTGGTGAGGAGTATTTACAGCTCCAGTACTTACAACCACAAAAGAAAACCAAAAAAGCAAAAAAAAAAACCCAACAAAACCAGACTAACCAACAACAACATATGCATACTTATTCTGGTACCATGTGCTTTTAAAATCTATAACCCCTAGTATTTTTCGAATGTCGCCCTCTTTAGAAGAAGACATAATTTGCAATCAGGCTGGGTAAGACAGACAGCCATTACCTTTTTAATGGCCAACTACTCAAAAAGGCTCAGCTGAGTGATCTCAACTAGCAATCTAATCAATTGCCACTGATAAGTGAAACACTTTTACCCTTTACTTATTTCAGCAAGCATTCCTAGGGGAAGGAAGGCAGGAATGAATTCCCAGCATAAAGTTTAATTCCATTTCACGGATGCAAACATCCTTGCTGCCCTGATGAAGAGGATCCCTTTAAAGCAAGCCATTTCCCTCTCTCCTGGAATCAAATCAGAGAAAGACTGGTTTATGATTCCTTCCAGCCAGCTCAATCAATTTAAACCCTTGCAGAAATCCCTGTGGTCATTTCTCAAGGGTGAAAGGGCCAAAGGAGGTGGGTAGAACAGAGAGGAGACACGGCTTCCTTGTTCTTCCAGGAAAGGGAAAGATAAAAGAGCATAAACAAGAAGGCCAAATAAAGAAGCTGGACAACCAGGTGCACATACTCTGAGCTGAGGATCCCCTATGGCCAGGCGATATGCTATGCTTCTGATATGCACCACCCCATTCAGCTGGAAGGCAGTACTGACTAGTTTGTGAGTGCAGCTATAAGCAAGGCATTCTGCTTGGTCACACGATATTTCATATGTGATTGCATTCAACCCGCCAAACAGCCCTGTAATATAAGAAAGATCATCCCCTTCTACAGGAGAAGAAATGGAGGCAGTGAAGGTTTTAGTCATCTGCTCAAGGGAATACAGAGCAGGGCAGGATATCTGGTTCAAAAGACAACACTCAGTGGTCTAGATCACACCTGAGTCATTTCATCAAAACTCAATGGATTATACACTAAAACTTGGTGAACTGCACTGTGTGTAAATTCTGTCTCAATAAAACTGATTTAAAGCACCAACAACACTACAGAGAGTGCCATGTGCTGTTTCTGCCTGCCCAGCCTCCATCCCTTCTTTTTCCTCTGAGGGCCTGCTCCTTGTTCACTCTCAGGTGATGGGGTTCAAAAGGAACTAGCCTTATCTCCCAACGCCAGGGCCGGTCACGTGACCCTGACTCACACAATCAGTGAATCACATTCCTCTGCCAGTGGCTGGTTCAGGCATGATCAGATGACCCAAGTCAAGCCAATGAGAGCTCTATCCCAGATTTTTTTTTTTTTTTTTTTTTGATTAGGTGTCTCACTCTGTCATGCAGGCTGGAGTGTAGTGGTGCACACTCACGGCCACCGCAGCCTCGACCTGCTGGGCACAGGCGATCCTTCTGCCTCAGCCTTCCAAGTAGCTGGAACCACAGGTCCAGCTAATTTTTTGATTTACTGTAGAGGTGAGGTCTTGCCAAGTTGCGCAGGCTGGTCTTGAACCCTGGGTTCAGGCAATCCTCTTGCCTCTCCCTCCCAGAGTGCTGGATTAGTTTGAGCCACTGCGCCTGGCCCTACCCCAGATTTTTAAGAGAAGCTCTCTCTGTCTGGGCTGCTTAGGCTAGTCTGGCAAACCTCAGGGCTCTTAATGGCCCTCTTGCCACACCAGGTGCAAGCCCTCCTGAGGATGAAGCTGGAATACATGAAAGCAGAGCTGAGATGGAGGGGGCAGCTTCCTGAGGATACTGTTTGAGTACCCAGATCCAGCCATGCCTAAAGACAACTTACTGCTGGCCTTTCCAATGACATCAGCCAATTTCTCTTCCTTTTCTTTTACCCAGCCTAAGCTGGGTTTTTTGTCTTTTATAACCAAAGAATCTTAATATGCAATAAGTCCCCTACATATGAATCTTCAAGTTGTGAACTTTCCAAGATACAAATGTGTGTTCACATGTCCAATCACATACTGTACTACTATACTTTTCAAGGTACTGTACTGTAAGATTAAAAATGTTTTATTTTTTGTTTGTTTTTATGTATTATTTGTCTGAAAAGTATTATAAACCTATTACAGTACAGTACTATATAGTACGATTGTGTTAGTTGGGCACCTAGGCTGACTTTGATGGACTAGTGAACAAATTGGACTTCCGAACATACTCTTGGAACAGAACTCATTCATATGTAGGGGACTGACTGTACCACAGTACCTTTACGAGCTAGAAACCCACACTGCTCATCATTGTGCACACGCCCCAGAGCAACCGGAGGAAAGAGCTCTACAAATATGAGATGGGTTCTGGGAACATGACCAGGCTTTATACCCATTGTCAGTCTCAGGTTGCAGATGTGAACACTGAGGCACTACACAGTTAAACAAGTAGCCCAAGGTCATGGGCCAAGCACGTGGTTCTCATCCTTACCAAAACATTGGTGATTTGCTTTTTGCAAGTTTCTTCCCTCAGTAGCAGAATCTTTTTAACACTAAATTCATGTTGAAAAACTTTAATATACAAAACGAGTCAAGCTGGTGCTGCTGTGGTGGCATGGAGGGTAGGGGCCCTGGAGCTGTGCCCATCCTCGCTCAAGCTCCCAGTCGCCCTGCACAAACCTTTCAGCAATGTGGTCTCTGGAAAGCAGAACCCTCAGACTGGTCTCAGGCATCCAGAACCTGGGGACCTTTTTCCACAAATTTCCTGGGACATGCACACTGTTAGCTCATTGTCCTATATCCATACAGCACAAAATGCAGGCTGTGCACAGACCCTCCCAGTGGTGTGAGTTGGCAGAGCTGTGACCCGTGCCCCCCAGTCCCTGCCATGACGCGGGCAGCCGACTCACTCAGATCCAGGACGTCATCGGTTTTGATCAGGTCTTCCTCCCGAGTCAGCGGCAGCTGGGTCTCGGGCTCCCCTCGCAGCTGCAGTGACAGGGAACGCAGCATGAAGAACACCCGGATGGCCTGGACCAAGGGTTCAGAGAGCACAGGAGAGTGACATTGCAGGCGCCTTTCAGCAGGTGCCTGAGTCAAGCAGACAAACAGTGAGTCTCTACTTTTAAAAGGAAACACAATAAGCCTAGCTCCTCTGGGGCTGTGCTCTCATGCTGTTACAGCAAGACAAAGAAAACAAGGGGGAGCAGCCATTTCCATTATGTGCGGGCTCAGGCTGGGTCACTTTACTGTCATCTGCCAGGACCTTGCCCCCAAGTGTCAGGTGACCTTCTAACACCCCTGCCCAGCAGGGAGCCCCATTTCATAGACTGGGCAACTGAGACCTTAGCAGGTGAAGTGACCTGCCCAAGGCCACATTCCAGGGAGGTCTAGAACTCAGGTTGGTCCCAACCAAACCAGCACAGACTCTGAAAATCCAAATCACTCATATAAGTGTTTCAAGGTCCCACCTACTGATGTGGGGGTGGGCCACAGAGTCCAAGAAACAAGATGAAAATCCCACCCCGGGCAAGTTCCCGCATCCCCCGGCTCCTCAGCCTTTCAGTAAGGTGGGTGCCACTGCAATGTGCAGTGATCTTAGCCCATGAGTGCTCTCAAGCTTTCCCAGCCAGCAGAGGGGGCAGAGGCGGCTCCACAAGCACAGGGGCTTCTGGCTCAAGGAAGAGGCGTCTGGTGAGACTCATATGGCCACCAGGCATTTCCAGAGAGCGGAAACAAAGCAGAGTTCCCAGAAGCCAGAGAAGTCTGTACAGAGAGCTGCCTCTAATCCAGAACAGCCTGCCCACCAACCCGAGCTGGAAAGTGGAGGATAGTTCACGTGAGGTTGCCACCAGGCCTCTTCCCAATGTGCTGCTGGGCCTGACCGAGGACGGAGTGCCGGAGGGAAGCAGTCCAGAGTCAGAGAGGGTCCTAGAACCAGTCCCCATAGATACTGAAGGACAACTGCTGAATAAAAATCCCCCGATGCTTTTCCTGGCTCCTGCCCTATCTCCTCAGAGAAGGAGGAGCACCTGCGGAGCCCACGCCCATAACAGTGAGAGGGCTGGGTTCCCATAGGGCAGGTACTCTGCTGGGCACAGAGGTTTCAGGCCTTCAGAGCGATGGGCCGCAGAGCCACGTGCATCTGTTTTCTCACCCCAGCTGTGCTCCTGCTTGGGTCTGGGTCTTCAGAACCTCAAGAAGAATGGGAGAGTTGACACAGAAATGAGGTGTCCCCTTTGGATCTGGCTGTGATGGCCTTTTTCTTTCTCTGTCCCTTAGCCCTGAGGTTGCAACTCCTTCTGTGAGAGCTCAAACTGCTGGATATTTCAAATGGCCACCCGCAGCCTGGGCCTTCTGCACCTGGATTGGCACGGGGGGTTCCATGTCCTGGTACACTTGGTTAAAGGACACAAGCAGCAGACGTCCTGAGTTCAGACCCCAGCTCAGCCATTCCCAGTCATATGATCTGAGACTGCTCTGCCCCTCTTGGCTCTGTTTCTTCCTCCAGAAAGTCTAAAGTTGCAAGAAGATACTCACAGTTCCTGGCACACAACAGGTGCTTAATAAATAGAATCTCTTTTGACTTTTTAAATGGAACCACACTTCTTTTTCTCCTGATTGCTAGAGATGACTTACTTAAAAAAAAAACAAACTGGGTACCCATAGGAGGGTGGGGCTATCCGGGCCTGAGGGCATGATGACCAGCCCCACAACCCCAGGAACCCACAGAAGCAAGCAAAAATACGAGGATAAAAGTCATGAAAGTCATCCTACTACCTTCCAAACAATAACCACTCCCTCTGACTCCCCATGGCCTGCCGGGTACTATGCTGGGCTACAATGCCATTCCATTCAGTCTTTTGATGGCTTGTGTAGGATGTGGTTCCCACTTTACAGATGGGGAAACCAAAGCCCAGGGGTGACAGGCAGCCTGTTCAAGGTGACTCAATGAATAACTGGATTCCAAACTGTGTTCTTTCAACCACACTCCTTGGCCTCCAAAAAATTAAAGGCTTGGGACCCAGGGTTTTATCGAGTGTTTTTCTTTGCTTTGCTAAATAAAGATGCAAATTTGAAAGTATTACTAAAAAGGAAAAAGAAATGATTATTCCTTCAGACTCTTCCACAGAATACCAGCAAGACTGAGCCTGGAAAAACAGATTCAATTTTGAAATGGACACTCCTTTGACCCAGCTGACCAAGCTCAAGTATAAAGAGACATCTGGCCAGGTAGCTCATACCTATAATCCCAGCACTCTGGGGAGCTGAGACAGGAGGATTGTTTGAGCCCAAGAGTTTGAGACCAACACAGGCAACATAGGGAGACCTCATCTCTAAAAAAAAAAATTAGCTAGGCATGGTGTAGTCTCAGCTACTTGGGAGGCTGGGATGGGAGGTCAAGTCTGCGGTGAGCACTGATCATGCTACTACACTCCAGCCTGGGTGACAGAGTGAGACCTCAACAAAAAAAATAAAATAAAAGAGACCTCTCCAGTTGCTTTGCTTCAATGCATCTGGGAACAAACTCTGGGAAACAAAATGTCCCTGGGAAATCAGTCCAATGAGGAGAGGCAGGAGGACAGCTGCACCCAGACAGACTGTGACTCAGTTCAGGGCTTGGTGGGTGCATGTATTCTCTGAGCCAAGATTTGTGCCCTGGAACTGGGTCTCCCTGGGGTATCCACCATGCAGGTGTAACAGGGGACCACAAGCCCCGGGGGCTGGGCCTGGGACACATACTCAGCTCTCCGCCTCCTGCAATCTCTCTGTACAGCAAGCTGCTCAGGTGAGGTGACAGTCACCCGGGTTAGAAGCCCACTGAAGCCGTGGAAATAGCAGTGAAAGTCAGTCATTCTCAGGAGTACAGAAGCAGTTTAGCATGGCACAATCGCTGCGAACGCAATTTGGCGATGTGTAGAGAGTCACACACACAAAAACGCTCATACCCTTTGAACCAGAAATTCCACTTCTGGGAACTTATCCTAAAGAAACAATTCAAAGGAAAGAAAACACTATATTCACGAAGCTGCTCATTACAGTTCAGTCGAAAATAATCATGTACTATTGGAAGCAACCAAAATGTCTCCTAGCAAGAAAATGCAGATAAACCTCTCTGCCGCCATAAGAAGTCAGACTTACTAAAATGGTATCACAGTGTGAAAAACTCCTTGTGCTACAATGAAAAGAGAAGACAAGGAAGAGCGATGACAGCAAGCCCACAGCACAGTCCCCCTGCAGCCATAAAGATGCCTTGCAAAGCCAGGGAGGAGGCACAGAGACGGCTGCGTGCTGTTTGTTTAGGGCGATGAAGTCATGGGAAATTCTCTGCCCTTTATTTTCCAAATTTTATGAGCTGTTACTGTATTATCTTTCATGTGTAATTCACATCCAAAATGTGAAGCAAAATACCATGTTAACTCAAGGTCAATAGCGATAAACACAAAAGCTGCTAGTTTTACAAGGGGACAGGGAAACACCAAAGGACAAAGAAAACCTTGTGCAAACACGTTTATTTCATAATTGCTCCCAAGACAACTGTATGAAGGTGGCTTCCATTCAGACTTGTCTGTCACCAAAAAACTCTTTTCCCTAGCATTAAGCTTCCGTAGACTTGGATCATTAAGGACCCCACTTCTTTTCCCTCCTGGGAGGCTAGAACACCCCTCACTGTTCAGTCAGTTCTTCCTGAGTGCTTACTGCCTGCCAGGCGCTGGGCTCCTCACTTCACAGCCACTCTCTTCTCTGCTTTGGCCAACAGCCGAGAGGTAGGACACATGAGAAGCCCAAGGCTCAGGGAGGTTACAGAACTTGCTCAAGGTTGCACAGCTAGAGTTGGGATTTGACCCGTGGTTGGTCTGACTCACAAAACTGTGTTCTTTCTCTACCACCACTACACGTGGGGTGGGTCCAGCCCAAGCCCAGTGTTCTCCTTGGACCCTCATTCAGCATGAACTTCCCTTCTCAGCTGGCATGCTCAGTGGCACACTCACTATTCTGGTCTTATTAAATATCATTTGTTCTCTATTCCATCCCTGTGACTCGTATAGCGCCTGGCTCCTAGAAAATGCTCAACGAGCATGTGAAATCAAGGAACAAATGGTGCAATTCACAAAATGCAAGAAGGAAAACGACTTTCCTGCGGGACGTCTCCCCACGAATGGCCAAGTGCTGCCACCCTCCATCCCGTCCCTGCCCCTCCTTCCCTTGCGCTGCTCCTGGAGCACCCTGGGAACTTGGCACGCGCTGTCTCCTTTAACGCTGTAACTTCTCTGGCTCCTCCTTGCCTTTCAGGTTTCCGCTCAGATGCCACCCTGCAGGGGCACTCCTACCGATCGGAACATACCTGCAATAGAACCCCCTCAACCCCTCGCCATACCAGGCCCCTTCTTCCCTCCAGAGCCCTGACTGCCATCTGGTATAAAAGCTGCCATCTTCCTTGTTAATGAAGTAGGTAAAGAGAGAGGAGAACAGAAGAGGGACATGGGCCCCAGTCACTTCTGCACACCCAGGCTCAGCATAGCACTGGTCAACAGCAGGAATCGGCAGCTCTGAGGAATGGATGAATGAATCTTTCACAACTTAGGAATGACTTACCAGTGAGGACTGTTTGAACTTCTCTGACAAGTCCTTAAGGAAAATAAAGGATGGGGTTTCTAAAAAGGACTAGCCTCCTTAAAAAAGTCTACTTGGTGGGGGAAAAGAGGAAGAAAGAAAACCTTTGAATCCAAACGGATAAAATGGAATGTTCCTTGGATATAAGCAACAAACTTGAAACAAACCACATTAAGCCCTCAACGGCTTGCTAAACCAGAGAACTTCCTTTAGCTCCCATTCAAAGCACACTGCTGTGTTCTGACTTCTGAATGGGCTTGAGGAGTCAGGCTTCCAGGTGATTCTAGACAACTGCCCTGCAACAGTAGCTGGACTGAGGTGAGTGGCTAAAACTACCCTTCAAGAATTGGTTCTGCAAGCCCCATAAGGAAGCTCTCTAAGCACATGACTTGGCTTGAGGTGGCCTACCCTATTTTATACCCTTCTGCTACCCAGGGCCCCTGAGACTTGAGAGTCGCTTTTGTAAACTGGTCAGACAGATGGAGGCTCTGTCTGTGCTTCAGTTAGTCATGAGGACTGTGCAGTCTATCTGGGAAGAGAAGGTGGGCAACACCACCCTGGGAGCCTGGTTATGCGAGCTGTGAGTGGGCAGAGGGAAGAAGAGACAGCTATTTTAAGGGCCCACTGTTGGCCTTTCTTAAGTCCTCACAATAACTTTGGAAAGGCAGGCACATTCTCCTTGACAGATGAAGAGACAGAAGCAACCTCCCTCTGCCACATGCCTGACAACCTCATCCCACATTTCTCCCATTTCTTGCCTGTGAATCAGGACCATCTGCCCCAAACCAGCAGGGGATGAAACAGTGTTAAGAGGTGACAGCCAAGGTCTTCACCAGGCTCCAAGGCCCCCTGATCAGCTCCTGTCAGTTCCAAAGAGGAGCCAAAATGTACCACATCTCTCTGGCCCAGCCCTCTCTGCAGTCTCAGCTTAAGGACCACCGCCTCTGAGGCCTACCGCAGGTGGGTTTAGGGACCTCACCTAATGCTGCTGCAGAGGCAGCACAGCCACATGGCCTGCTATTGTCTCTCCCACCTGGCCCTCTGGACCCTGATTCCCTGAAGACTGGGGTTGTCTTTTCGCTGTCCCCATGTCCAGCCTGAGTAGGACTAACAAACATGATATGGGTAGCAGTGGGAAGTAGCAGGTTGGAGTGCTCGAGGCTCTAGGTCCTGGAGGCCACACTGCCTGGGCTGATTCCTGGCTCAGCTATTGCCTAGGTGACCTGAGCAGATCATTTGACCTCTTCGTACCTCAATTTCTTTCTCCGTAAAATGGGCATAACAATAGTACCAGCCTCCTAGAGTGACTGTAGAATTAAATGAGGAAAGTCATGGAATGAACAATCTACTTCATGACAAAAGCTACGGGTTCATAAAAGTGGTAAAAAAGAAAAAAAGCAGCTGGGCTCGGTGGCTCAGACTGTAATCCCGTGCCTTTGGGAGGCTGAGGTGAGTGGATTGCCTGAGCCCACAGGTTTGAGACTCGCCTGGG